ATATATTTTAATATATATATCCACACACACACGCATATATATATATATAATATCATAAATACTATATTTAAAATGTATAAATTTGACAACGCACCCCCAGTCAAACTTCTTGAAATCCACATCGAATCCATATCCCGGCAGGTCATGAATGCCCTCCATGTGAGAGGCAGCCATGAACATGACCTTCTTTGGGACACATCCTACATTGACGCAGGTGCCTCCAATGACCCCACCAACTGCTACGCCCACTTTAGCGCCATATTCGGCACATCGGCGGGCTGTAGCAATACCACCTGAACCTCCGCCGATTACGAGCAGATCATAGTGCTTTACGGGTGCCATAGTGTGTGTTGTGCTGTAAGAAAGCTTTAAAAGAGTCTTGAAATTGGTTTGTAGTGTGCGTGGGAGAATTCGGTTTAGTACACTGCCCTGCGAATGTCGTAATCCGTGTCTTGTTATAACGGATGAACTCATTGTGGTGTTACATATATGTGTGCGCGTGCGTGCCACATACATACGTGATCACTTTGGACACTTCCAACTTTTTTTAAAACTTTTTTAAATTACTGTGTTCTGTTGTGATGTCGCAAGTTCGCAACTAATGATCGGACTGACGGTCACGAGATTTCCAGCCAATCATATACAAATATTTCCGATATGGCAATATGGAACTAATTTATGGGCCTTTCAAAAGCAGCTCATTTCTTGAAACCAATTCTTATAGTGGTTTCAGAACATACCTCATGTGGGGGGTTAGACCAGTAAATTCTAGGTAGTTCATCTCAGAACTAGTTGTCCGTATGTACTGCATTATATATAAATCCCTAACGAAGTACGGGATACTGGATTAATTTTTCTACACCCTTATCGTGTTGTTGATATTAAAGCCACTATGTTTAGTATTAATTTCAATGATGGGCCCAGTTGAGGGTAAACCCGCAAACAGTGGTGACTGTCTGTCTGACCTACTAACCGTACGATTGGTCAACAGAAAGCGCGGGAAAACCTCGGCATATTCCGCTTTGTTTACTTCTAGACTCAAAAATACTTATGAGTTCTGTTGATATTATTGTGTATTTTCAATCTCTGCTGCTGTTTTATTTTAAAAATATCTTGTATTTTATAGTACATATCATACATCTATTGATTCTTATAATTATTACATAATGTATGGGGTGTATAGTTCTCTTATAGTTGGGCTGCTTTCAACGTGAAGTGCTGCTGCTACTTTCAACGTGAGATGCAACATAATAAAACACTTAGCGTATCATTTTTCAACCCCGTCACTTCATAAAAGAGTTACGTCTCGGACTACGCTCTGCGGTATACAAAATCAACTTGTATCGTTCTAAAAATGAGGCCACAGTTGCATTTATTAGAAAATAGATACGATTAAATGCCTGGTACTGCCACCTCTCATCTGTACTCAAGCAACTGAGTATAAAACGATCAATAAAACATGGGCTCGAATGTGGACATGTCGTTCGTATCTGCGGAATGCTTTGATCCACTCTACGAGTTTGACGCGCCTATGCTGCGACATGATCTGAGCAACCCCCTGTGCGACATCTACACAAGCGACGACTGGTTTGGTATGATTATATATATAAATATTTTGGTCTCGAATTGATGAGTATATTTGTGCATACATACATATATATATATATATATATATATATATACTATACTATATTATACTATATATATA